CCTGTGCGGCTTGCTCCAAGCCTTTGTTGTGGTTGTTTTCTGTATGTGGAGTTTCGCAGACCCGGAGAGCACCAAAGCGCTGCTCTGAGCGCGCGCTGAAGGGAAGACTGTTCTTGTGCCCAGTCCAGAGTCTGCCGTCCATCACACCGACGAAGTACCCAGGGACCGGATCCCACCGTGGCCAGGCACGTGAGACGCAGCGACAGACTGCAGGCCAGCACGCCAGGCCTATCTACCCCGCTCGGGAACCACGTGGCTCAGACCTGAGCCCCTTAAGGCGAAGCGAAAGGGGTGCAACATTTTCTAATCCCGCCTCCTGCATTCCCCAGGAAGCTGTCAGCCAGCTTCTGCTTGACCCCTGCAATCAGGAATCCAGGTGGGTTAAGTGACTTGCCCGAGGTCAACGTCACGCAGCTGGAAAGCCAGAATGAGGGGACTCAGTTCCAGGCTGTTGGACTCCGGAGACCATGATTGCACTTGCACTGTTCTGCCCATAGAGTAAAGGCCCACCCGTAACACCTGCGCGTCCGGCTTCTGGAGCCGGAAGGAACATGAGGGCTTGCGCTCCCCCCACCCACCCGCCCCGCCCTTACCTTCCAATGGGTAACCTTGGTCAACCTTTGGACGTCTAGTAATAATTTTAAATGCACCACCATTTTTTTTCCATGCAATTACAAAGGGAAGTATTTTACATCAACAATATTGTTTCGTATCACAATGTGAGATACTGATGACAATCTTGCATTTAGCCAGCAGTGCCCGGTTCACTGATGGCTCAGTCCAGTTCTTCCTTCTAGCTCTCTCTCTTTTTATTTTATTTTTTCCTGTGCACCTGATTTCTCCCAAATTGGAAAGCTCTAAATCTCAGTGGTGGGTCATTATGAGTGGCAGTGGCAAGCACCTGCTTGTTTTTAAGAGAATTGGGTGGACCCAAAAGATTTCTCACTGAAAACTATTCCCACATCGTGCCATCAAGACAGCAAAGTTCAAACTAGAAGGTTGGGTGTCTCAACTCCGGAGACGATGGTCAAGAGCTCCTAATCTATGCTTTGACTGGACCCAGTGATCCGTATTGGTTTACAATTGTGGCAGCCTTTGTACATGATTTTATTTAAAAAAAAAATTTTTTTTAATGTTTTTATTTTTGAGACAGAGAGACAGAGCATGAGCGGGGGAGGGGCAGAGAGAGAGACAAACAGACAGAATCCGAAGCAGATCCCAGGCTCTGAGCTGTCAGCACAGAGCCCGACGCGGGGCTCGAACTCACGGACCGTGAGATCGTGACCCAAGCTGAAGTCGGACGCCTAACCGACTGAGCCACCCAGGCGCCCCCGTGATTTTAAATAATATGCCCCCAAGTCACCTCTTGACAAGTGAAAAGAAAAATCAGCAAGTTATGGAAAAGAAAGCTTTCAACAGTGGAGCTGTTTGTCCCAAGTTAGGTCTCCTTGGAAAATCCCGATGTTTGATTTTTCATCCTTAAAATTAGGATATTTTATCCCTAAGGTGATAGATATTTCAAGCTATACCCAAGACACTTCATAAATCATCGAGAAACACCACCGGAGGCAAACCTCTTGAAGTTTCCAAAGTATACCAACTTTCCATTAGTCAATTTCTCTTGGTGTATTTGTTTGTTTATTGAGTAATTGTTGAAAAAGTCCAATGGTTCTACATGACTTAAAGCAAAACAAAACAACGAAACGAAACGAAAAAAAGAACTATGCTTTACCTACCCCTCAACATCTCTGATCCCCATTTTCTAGAGACAACGTCGTTCAGTTCCTTTCATTCTCCTTCCCCTCCCTCCCGCCCCCGTCCACACCTGCTGTATTACCTCTACCTTTCTAAGTAACATGCTTTCGGTCTTTGATTTTTTCTTTTTAGTTTTTAAATATTGTCTCTTGAACTACCACTGCAGATGATGAGAATTTAGCTCTCCGATGCCAGGCTCCCTGTCTCTATAGACACAGAGATTACCTCTCCTTCCAAATGTAGATTTATCTTGCTTTGGTTAGACACATTTACTACCTACCATATTTTTACTATATGACTGTTAGTCACAGTTGAGCAAGATGGTCCTTTCTTGGTATCGTGTTACTTTTTTTCTGAGCCTCGTTTGCCTCATTTTGCAAGTATCCATAGCCAGTTCATTCCCGAGTTCTCTACCAATCGTGCGCATCCTCTCGGGGTACATTTCAACACGTTAGTAACTGGCATGCTTGATCCCAGCCTCCTCCAGAGCCTTCCCCCGCTCTCCTGCTCCAACCTGAACTGGTCGTTCTCTGTCCCAAAAGCCCCTGGGAACTCTATTTACCATCATCCAAAGGGCTGCCTTTATCTTTCACCTGTATCGGATCCCCTGCTTTCCAGGATCGTGTTTTTTGTTTCTCTCCCTCTTCATCTGCTTCTTTGTTTCTACAGGATTCATCTTCTAGTAACTCCCTGAGAAAGTGGGCCAGGGGGCACAGGAGACAGAACGTGTCAGACATTTCACATCTAAGATGCGCACATGCTACACTAACACTTCATCAATAATCTGGCTAGCTACAGAAACTAAGCGGCAATTTTCTCTCAGAATTTTGAAGGCACTGATTGGGTTGCCATCCAGCCCCCAGGTTAGTTGAATAGTCACAGTGTTAGTCTGATTCCTGATACTTTGTATATGACTTCTCACTCCCCTCCTCCTCCCCCTCCTCCCTGTCCTCCTCCTCCTCTCTCCCTCCCTCCCATCCTCTCTCCTTCTCTCTCTCCCTCTCCCTCTCCCTCTTTCTCCTTCTCTCTTTGTAAAGATACAAGACAGATACTTGGCTTGCCTTTTCAGTCTGGAAAGTCATACACCTCCGCTATGTGGAATTCTATTGATATATTTCTTCAAAAACATTTTCCACCCATTTTCTCAGTCCTCTCCTATTCTCGGCTGACCCCACCAAACTGGTCCCCTATGTATTTTGTTTCTTTTAGCTTTCTCCTCTATTTGTGAGGGAGTCTTTCAACATCATCTTCCAAATTTTATATTGAATTTTTCATCTTCTATCATATTTTTAACTCCCCAAAGCTTTTCGTTTCTCGTAAAATATTCCTTTTTTATAGCAGCCTGTTTCTGTTTCACAGTGCAATATTTTCTCTTATGTCTCTGTGGAGATACATAAAAGGATTTTTTAGGCTTTTCTTCACCTGCCGGTGTTGCTGTTGTCCCTCCTCTGAGATTTTTCTTTTCTGCTCTATCATGTCTCTCATGATACAGGTTTTCCTCGGGGCTTGGTGATCTCCGTAGCGAGGCACCTGCCAGAGTTAATAGGAACCCGTGTGTGCCTGAGTAGAGCTTTTGACTAAGGCATTCTGGTTAAGGTTGTTTTGATGAGAGATTCCCTTTACCATCAGTTTTGGTATATCCTTCCTCCCGGTTATTTCATGTTTTCATGTTCCTGAGGAATGATCTTGCTATCTCCTCCCTGCAGGTGTAGCCTGTGGGACGGCCTTCCACAAGCCCAAGAGAAGAAGGAAGCTGAGTGGTCTCATCATTCAATACACAGGGGACCTTCTCCCCTCCAATTTTTCAGTATCCATCATTATAATATACAGAATAGTTTCACCACTCTAAAAATATCACCTATCCAACACTGTACCCCTAATCCCTCACAAATATGATCTGTTTACTCTCTCATAGTTCTGCCCCTTTCAGAAGGCCATCTTTCACTTAACAGTATGCATTTAGAGGGGCACCTGGGTGGCTCAGTCGGTTAAGTGTCCGACTTCGGCTCAGGTCATGATCTCGCGGTCTGTGAGTTCGAGCCCCGCGTCGGGCTCTGTACTGATGGAGCCTGTTTCAGATTCTGTGTCTCACTCTCTCTCTGACCCTCCCCCATTCATGCTGGCTCTCTGTCTCAAAAATAAATAAACGTTAAAAAAATAAAAATTAAAAAAATTAAAAAACAAACAAAAAAAACCCCAAAACAATATGCATTTAGATTCATCTTTGTTTTTGCGAATCTTGATAGCTCATTTCTTTTTTCCCCCCAGGCTTATTGAGGTATAATTGACAAATAAAAATTGTAAAATTGTATATATTTAAGATAGGCAACGTGATGTTTTGATATATGTATACATTGTGAAATAATTGCAACGATCAAGCTAATTAACATATCCAACACCTACAGGGTTAGCATTTTTTTCTTTCTTTCCTTTTTTTTTTTTTTCTTTGTTGTGAAAACACTTAAGATCTATCCTCTTAGGGGCACCTGGGTGGCTCAGTCAGTTGAGCCTCCGACTTCAGCTCAGGTCATGATCTCACCGTTGGTGAGTTCAAGCCCCGCGTGAGGCTCTGTGCTGACAGCTCGGAGCCTGGAGCCTGCTTCGGATTCTGTGTCTCCCTGTCTCTCTCTGTCCCTCCCCTGCTCGCATGCTCTCTCTCTCTCTCTCTCTGTCTGTCTCTCACTCTCTGTCTCTCACAAATAAATAAACATTAAAAACAAAGTTAAAAAAAAGATCTATCCTCTTAGCAAGTTTTAAGTATACAGCACAGTATCGTTAGCTACACTCCTATTGTTGTACGTTAGATCTCCGAAATTAGTTCATCTTGTGTAGCTGAAACTTTGTGCCCTGGATCCATTTCCCCCTCCCCCTGGCCCCTGGCAACCACCATTCTCTTCTCTGCTTCTAGGCATTCGATTATTTTAGATTACACATGTAAATGAGAACATTTCGACACTGTTGTCTTTCTGTGTCTGGCTTATTTCACAGAGCATAATGCCCGTGTTATTGCAAATGGCAAGATTTCCTTCTGCGTTAAGGATGAATAATAGTCCACTGTATATGTGTACATTTTCCTTATCCATTCATTCATCAATGGACATTTAAGTGGTTTGCATATCTTGGCTATGATGAGTAATGCTGCAATAAACATGGGAGTGTAGACATCTGTTTGAGATCATGGTTTTGTTTCCTTTGGGTACACACCTAGAAGGATCATAAGGCAGTCTATTTTTTAATTTTTTGAGGGACCTTATACACAAACAAATTGGATGACCTAGAAGAAATGTACAAAGACCTAAAAACACACAACCTATCCAAATGGAATCAAGAAGAAATAGAAAGCCGGAACAAACCAGTAACAAATAAGGTGATTGAATCAGTAATCAGAAACTTCTCGACAAAGAAAAGCCCGGTGCCATATGGATTCACAGGTAAGTTCTATCAGACATTCAGTGAATAATCAATACCAATCCTTCCTAAACTCTTCAAGAAGTAGAAGAGGGACCACTTTCAAATCATTTTATGAGACCATCATCACCCTGATAATAAGGTCAGACAAAGAAACCAGCAGAAAATAAAACGGTAAGCAATTTCCTCCATGAAAATTTCAAATCAGTTGGATACATACTGACAATAGAATGGCTGGATCATATGGTAAGATTGTGTTTTAATTCTTCTAAAGTGACTGTATCATTTTTCATTTCCACCAGCATTGAATGAGAATTCCTACTGCCCCACAGCCTCCCCAGTTAATTGATATGGTCAGGTTCCTGGATTTTAGTCAGGAATCCCGGATTGCACAGATCTTCCCGGATTTACAACGGGACAACACCCTGACAAATCCATCACGTGTTGAAAATATCAATCATTAAGTAGAAAATGCATTTACTACACCTAACGTATCAAACACCATAGCTTACCTTAGCCTACCTTAAACATGCTTAGAATACTTATATTAGCCTAGGGTTGGGCAAAATCATCTAACACAAAGCCTATTTTATAATATAATGTTGAGGGGAGCCCGGGTGGCTCAGTCAGTTAAGCATCTGACTCCTAATTTAGGCTCAGGTCATGATCTCATGGTTCATGAGTTTGAGCCCCACGTTGGGCTCTGTGCTGACAGTGTGGACCTTGCTTGGAGTTCTCTTTCCTTCTCTGTCCGCCCCCCTCCACCTCTCTCTCTCTCTCTAAATAAATAAACATTTTAAAAGTTTTGCAATACGATGTTGAATATCTGATGTAATCTATGGAATACTGTGCTGACGGTGAGATACAGAATGGTCGTGTGGGTACAGAATGGTTTTAAGTATATCGAGTGTTAGCCCTTTATGATTGCAGGGTTGATGGGGGGGTCGGCTGCTCACTGTTGCTACCCAGGATCGTGAGCGGGTCCCCTACAGCATGTTGCTAACCTAAGAAAAAAATCAAAATTCAAAATTCAAAGTACAATTTCCACTGAATGTGTATCACTTCCACACTATGGTAGAGTTAAAGCAAAAAAGTAAGTCAAACTATAGTAAGTTGGGGACCTTCTGTATGGTTGGTATCTTATTATTGCTTAAATTTGCAAATCCCAGGGCACCTGGGTGGCTCAGTTGGTTGCGTGGTCCAGCTCTTGACTTCTTCTCAGGTCATGGTCCCAGGGTCGTGGGATCGAGCCCTACGTTGAGCCTGTTTGAGATGCTCTCTCTCACCCTCTGCCCCTCTCCCCTACTTGCACATGCTCTCTCTCTAAAATAAAAAACAAAGCAAAATTTATTTTTTTATTTTTAAATATTTATTTATAATTGCGAGAGGAGAGAGAGAGAGAGAGAGAGAGCAGGGGAGAGACCAAGAGATAGAGAGACACAGAATCTGAGGCAGGCTCCAGGCTCCGGGCTGTCAGCACAGAGCTCGATGTGGGACTGGAACCCACGAACCATGAGATCATGACCTGAGCCGAAGTCGGACGCTCAACCGACTGAGCCACCCAGGCGCCCCAAGAAAACAAAACTTAAAAAAAAAATTGCCATTCCCTAATGACTAATGATGTTGAGTATCTTTTCATTTGTTTATTTGCTATTTACATATCTTTTTTTGGGTGAAATGTTCAGATGTTTTTTTTCCATTTTTAAAATTGGGGGGGCGCCTGGGTGGCACAGTCGGTTAAGCATCCGACTTCAGCCAGGTCACGATCTCGCGGTCCATGAGTTCGAGCCCCGCGTCAGGCTCTGGGCTGATGGCTCAGAGCCTGGAGCCTGTTTCCGATTCTGTGTCTCCCTCTCTCTCTGCCCCTCCCCCGCTCATGCTCTGTCTCTCTCTGTCCCAAAAATAAATAAACGTTGAAAAAAAAATTTAAAAAAAAATTGGGTTGCTGGTTTTCTTATTGTTGAATTTTAAGGGTTCTTTTTATATTGTGGATATAAGTCCTTTATCAGACACGTGCTTCGAGAACGTTTCATTATGTGGCTAGCCTTTTCATTTCTGTTACCAATGTCTTTCCCAGAGTAACAGTTTCCACTGTAATAAAGTCTAACTTAATCGTCTCTTTCTTGGATTGTGCTTTTGGTGTTGTATCTAAAAACTCATCGCCAGCCAAAGGTCATCTAGACTTTCTCATAGGTTTTCTTCTAGATGTTTTACACTTTTCCATTTTGTATTTAGGTCTATGATACATTTTGAGTTAATTTTACTAAAAGGTGTAAGATCTATGTCTAGGTCTCCCCCCTCCCAGCACCCCGCGCGGGCGGCTTTTTTTTTTTTTTTTTTAACATATGAGCATTCAGTTGTGCCAGCCAGCATCATTTGTTGAAAAAAACTATCCTTGGGGCGCCTGGGTGGCTCAGTCGGTTAGGAGTCTGACTTCGGCTCTGGTCATGATCCCATGGTTCGCGGGTCCGAGCCCCGCGTCGGGCTCTGTGCTGATGGCTCGGAGCCTGGAGCCTGCTTCGGATTCCGTGTCTCCCTCTCACTCTGCCCCTCCCCCACTCACACTCTGTCTCTCTCTCTCTCTCTCTCTCTCTCAAAAATAAATATTTAAAAAAGAAAAACTATCCTTTCTCCGTTGAATTGGCTTTGCACCTTTGTTAAAATCTAGTTGACTGTGTGAATCTATTTCCGGCTTCTCCCTTCTCTTTTGCTGATTGATGTGCCCATACTTTGCCAATACCACACTGTCCTGAAAACAGTAACTTTATATTGAGTCTTGGAACCAGTTAGTGTGAATCTTCCAACTCTGTTGTTCTTCGATAGTGTGTCCATTTTTCTAGCTCCTTTGCTTTCCCATATAAATTTTATTGTATTTTAAAACATGTTTTACTTATTGAGAGAGAGAGAGTAAGGATGAGAAGGAGAGGGGCAGAAAGAGAGGGGGACAGAAGATCTGTAGCGGGATCCGTGATGACGGCAGCGAGCCTGACGCGGGGCTTGAACTCACGAACCACAAGATCATGACCTGAGCCAAAGTCGGTCACTCAACCGGCTGAGCCACCCAGGCACCCCTGCCATATACATTTTGCATTAAGTTTGTCCATATCTATAAATAGTTGACTGGGATTCTGGTTGCCTTTAACTTATTGCCTTTAATCCGCAGATTAAGTTGGTTTGGAAAACTGACATCTTTATAATTTTGACTCTTCTGATCCATGAACATGAAATATCTTTCCATTTATTGAGTTTTTTAAAAATTTCTTTCACCAGTGTTTTATACAGCATACACAGCCCATACATACTTCATTAGAAATATGCCCAAATACTTAATTTTTTGGTGTGCTTATAGACAGTATTGATTCTAAATTTTAATTTCTGATTGTCCATTGCTGGTATATAGGAAAGTAATCAACTTTTATACATTGACTATGTATCCTGTGACCTTGCTATACATGCTTAGAAGTTCTATCAGAGTTTTGGTACATTATTTAAGTTGTTCTACACAGATTATAATGTCATCTGCAAATACAGACAATTTTATTTCTTCCTAACCCACAAACTTTCAATCTCTTCTTCTTATCTTATTGTACTAGGTAGAATTTCCAAGACAACACTGAACAGGAGTTGAAAGAGGACATTTTTTCCTTATTCCCTATTTCAGAGAAAAGCATTCAGTTTTTCACCATTAATTATTACGTTAGCTATTGTTAGGTTAAGGAAATTTCCTTCTGTTACTTGTTGTTGGTTTTTTTTTTGAGAGTTTTTGTCACAAATAGGTGTTGAATTTTGTCAAAAGTTTTTTCTGCATTAATTCATATGATCACATAGTTTTGATTTTTCCATCTATTAATAGGATAAATCACATTAATTTCTTTACAAGTGTTAAACTGGCTTTGCATCCCTGGATGAGCCCTACTTGGTCACCATCAAGTATCCTTTTTTATATGCTGCTGGATTTGATTTGCTATTAAAAAAAATTTTTTTTTAATGCTTATTTCGTTTTGAGAGACAGAGACAGAGTGCAAGTGGGGGAGGGGCAGGGAAAGAGGGAGACCCAGAATCTGAAGCAGGCTCCAGGCTCCCAGCTGTCAGCACAGAGCCCGACACGGGGCTCGAACCTGTGAACCGTGAGGTCATGATCTGAGCTCAAGTCGGACGCCCAACCTGCTGGGCCACCCAGGTGCCTCATTGATTTGCTAAATTTTTAATGGATTTTGTATCTATGTTTATGAGAGTTTCTTGTAATGTCTTTATCTGGTTTGGGTATTAGCCTAATACTGCTCTCACAGAATGAGTTGAGAAGTGTTCCTCCGTCTACTTGTATTTTCTGGAAGAGATTGTGGGAAATTGGTGCTACCTCTTCTTTAAATACTTTATAGAATTCTCCAACAAAACCATCTGGTCCTGGTGTTTTCTTTTTGTGGAAGCTTTTTAAGGATTGGTTCTATTTCTTTAACAGATACAGGAATGTTCCTATTGTCTATTGCTTCTTGAGTGAGCTTTTGTAGCTTGTATCCTTCAAGGAACCGATCAGTTTCATTTAAGTATCAAATGCCTGGTCCTGTACATGCTCTTCCTGTTCTGTTACTAACTTTCTTAATGTCCATGTGATCAGTCACGTTGATTCCTCTTTCATTTCTGGTATAGTTAACGTGGGTCTCCTTACTATGTATCTTTTTTAGGTTAGCCTGCTGGAGATTTATCTATTTATTTGTCTTCTCAAAACAAAAACACTTTTGGTTTTACTGATTTTCTCTATTGTTCCTCTGTTTTCAACAAGTCAACATAAAACAGATATTCTAGGATCTCCTATGAAGCAAACTAAATTGTTGGTGTGGTTTTGAGCATTTGGTGGAGAGTAAGAAGGCAACTTTACTTTATCTTGAAGATAGGAACAGTCTCCTTTGAGGAACATTAAACCCTTGAAGAAATTAACATAATTTTAAAATGCTACTTAATGGGGCGCCTGGGTGGCTTAGTTGGTTAAGCATCTGACTTCAGCTCAGGTCATGATCTCGCGGTTTGTGAGTTTGAGCCCTGCGTTGGGCTCTGTGCTGACAGCTCGGAGCCTGGAGCCTGCTTCGGATTCTGTCTGTCTCTCTCTGACCCTCCTCTGCTCATGCTCCGTCTCTCTCTGTCTCTCAATGATAAATAAACATTAAAAAAATTTTAATGCTATTTGATTCTTCAATTAAAGATATTATATTTATAAAGTCATAAAAGTATAACTGTAATTTCAAAAGGAAATAAATTATAATAAAATTATATTATTTTTATACATAAGTATTTTGTGGTTTTTTTAAAGAAAATGTATTTTTGATGTGGGGAAATATACATAATGTAAAATGCATCATTTTAACCATTTGCAGTGGCACCGAGTACATCCACACTGTTAGAAAACTCCATACCCACTAAATAATAACTATTCTATTCTTTCTTCTCCCCAGTCCCTGGAAACCACCATTCAACTTTCTTGTCTCCATGAATTTGCTACTCTAGATACCTCATGTAAGTGGAATCATACAATATTTATCCTTTTGAGATGGGGCTATTTCATCTAACATAATGTCTTCAAACTGGAGGGTATTACACTAAGTGAAATAAGTCAGTCAGAGAAAGACAGCTATCGTACGTTTTCACTCATATGTGGAACTTGAGAAACTTAACAGAAGACGATGGGGGAAGGGAAGGGGAGAAATAGTTACAGACAGAGAGGGAGGGAGGCAAACCCTAAGAGACTCTTAAATACAGAGAACAAACTGAGGGTTGATGGGTATGGGGAAAATGGGTGATGGGCACTGAGGTGGGCACTTGTTGGGATGAGCACTGGGTGTTGTATGTAAGCGATGAATCACGGGAATCTACCCCCAAAACCAAGAACACGCTGGACACACTGCATGTTAGCCAACTTGATAATAAATTATATTAAAAACAAACAAACAGGCAAATAAATAAATAAAACCATTCTAAGAAAAACAACAACAACAAAAACCATAATGTCTTCAAGGTTCATCCATATTGTGGCATATGTCAGAGTTTCCTTCCTTTTTAAGGCTGAATAATATTCCTCTGTATACCTATCCATCTATTGATAGACACTGGAGTTGGCTATCGTGAATAAGACTTCCATGAATATGGTTTACGAGCATCTTTTCAAGTATGCTTTCCGTCCTTTGGAGTATACATCCAGAAGAACTGCTAGACCATTTTTGCAATCCTATGTTAAGCTTTCTGAAGAACCACTATACCCTTTTCCACAGTGGCTATACCACTCTACATTCCCACTAGCAATAAACAAGAGTCCCAGTTTCACCACATCCTACCGATCCTTTCCTACTTTGTTGATAATAGCCACCCTAATGGGTGGAGTGTGGGGTCTTGTGGCTTTGACTTGAATTTCCCTAACGATTCGTGATGTTGAACAGCTGTTTCTATGCTTCTTGGTCACTGGTTTATCTTCTTTGGAGAAATGTCTATGCAAATGTCTTTTGCCATTATTTAAACAAATTTTTTTTAGTGTTAATTTATATTTGAGAGAGAGAGAGAGAGACTGCAAACAGGGGAGGGGAAGAGAGAGAGAGAGAGAGAGAGAGAGAGAGAGAGAATCCAAAGCAGGCTCCAGGCTCTGAGCTGTCAGCACAGAGCCCGACACAGGGCTCGAACTCATGAACTGTGAGATCATGACCTGAGCTGAAGTTGGCCCCCAGGTGCCCCTATGTCTAAAATGTTTTTACGCAAACAAAAGACAAAAACAAAGGCTCACGCTGTTTCCGATTCCAGAGAGAACTGGTTTGAATCCTGGCTCTTTTTACAAGCTGTGTAATGCTTAACAAATTACTGAACGCCTCCTAATATTGGTTTTCTCTTCTGTAAAATGGGGTGACCACAGAAGGTACTACATAGGAATGTTATAGGATATTGAAACGACAGGATACACTTAAAGCTCTCAGCTTATTGCCTTGTTCTGGAATAAGTACACCCTGGTGCCATTATAAAGAGGAATAACCTGTTTAAATATGCTTTATACAGTCTCCATGATTTTTTTTTTAATTTTTTTTTCAACGTTTATTTATTTTTGGGACAGAGAGAGACAGAGCATGAACGGGGGAGGGGCAGAGAGAGAGGGAGACACAGAATCGGAAACAGGCTCCAGGCTCCGAGCCATCAGCCCAGAGCCTGACACGGGGCTCGAACTCCCGGACCGCGAGATCGTGACCTGGCTGAAGTCGGACGCTTAACCGACTGCGCCACCCAGGCGCCCCAGTCTCCGTGATTTTTAATAAACAATTTTATCCTACCTTGGGTCTGATTGGTGTCAGCCCTTAATGGAAACCCCACACAGATGCACCCTAGCTGCTTGTCAGATAACTCGGTTGTCCAAATCCCATCACAATCCTGTTTATGAGAACAGATATTTATGGAGGATTTGCCTGAAGGACATGTTATTCATCTATTCTCTGGAAATGATAAATTTTACCCTTGGATCAAATAACACCATCTGAGAGCTGCATATCGGAATGGCATCATTGTGACTCTTGTCAAATTTACTTGACAGGATTGAACGTCACTGTTGTGAGCCTGGCTTGCACTGAGGGATGCTGTCAGAAGCAGCCGGGCAAACTTTACTCTTGTATTTGTTGCTGGGCTGGAGTCCAGGATGTTCTTGTCTGGATCAAAGAGTGTTTCCTTTATGAAGACCCGAGGGAAGAATTTTTCTTAGCTCAGCAAGATGAGAAAGCTTTAAACAACGGGTCTGTCTCTATCTTGTGGACGATCTGGATCTTTTAACAGTGCGTATCTCCCTGCTTACTTTAGCTTCCAGGAAACCTACAACCCCATCAGTGGCCCATCTTGGGTGCCTCTATGAAATAATGTGGCAGGGGCGCCTGGGTGGCGCAGTCGGTTGAGCGTCCGACTTCAGCTCAGGTCACGATCTCGCGGTCCGGGAGTTCGAGCCCCGCGTCAGGCTCTGGGCTGATGGCTCGGAGCCTGGAGCCTGTTTCCGATTCTGTGTCTCCCTCTCTCTCTGCCCCTCCCCAGTTCATGCTCTGTCTCTCTCTGTCCCAAAAATAAATAAAAACGTTGGAAAAAAAAAAAAAACAAAAAACAATGTGGCAATGAGAGGTAGGTAAATTTGCCCTTGGATTGTTTTTTCACCCACGTTATTTCTTTGTCCCAACACTTTCCATGATTTATTTTCCATATATTTTTGGAAGCTGCCTCTTGTTTATGACACAAGATAAGAAGAGAGAAAATGGAAAAATGAGGCTAGCATAAAGGAAAGTGGAGTATCGATAGGGGATAAATCAAGTAGGCAAAACTCTTATTACTTTCACATTTCCCTGGGCACCTGGCATTGAACTTCACAGCTAGTACATGGTTAGGGAATGTTTGTTAAGGAAAGAAAAACAAAGATAAGATCTATCAGGCCATTCCTTGTCCTGCTTGTGCACAGATGTAAGGTTGGGTTAGACGTAGGGGAGGCTTGATGAGTCCCTGAGAGGCCAAAGAGAATACTTTGATGCCTTCTGAGTGGTATCTGACATTTCCTGAAGCAACGCCCTAGCCACTTTTCAAGGCTCACTCCAATGCGTCCACCTTACGAAAACATCCCCTGTTGTAAGCAAATACCTCTCTCTCCTGGGAACGCTCTCAGAAACTACTGTCTCTGAGTACCCATTTCAAATGTGCTTAAAATAAAAATAAAAATAAAAATTTTTATGATAACTTATGAGATACAGATATAAAGATGCTAGATAAGGAAGGAGGGGAAGAAAGAAAGAAAAAGAAAGATTAGTTCAATAAATATTTTTAAACAGGTAAATGAAAATCCATTGTATCGATTTTTTTTTTTTTTTTTTTACAAACTTGCATTAAAACTCTGTTCCCATGAGCAGTATGGATGGCTTCTCAAATGGGTTATAAGTAAGGAAAAGAAGCCAGACTGAAAAAGCTAAACTTTTGACTCCATTTACATAACTCTCTAGCAAAAGCCAAATTACACAGGGAGAAGAAGGGCTGGGAGACAGGAACGGGCACAGTGGCACGTGGGGGTAATGGAACTCTGTGTCTCATGATTGTGTCGTGTTGGTCACGTGACTCTATAGCTTTGTCCAAACACTCGGAATCCTGCCCTCAAAAGCGTGGATCCCAGGGTCACCTGGGTGGCTCAGTTAAGCCTCCAACTTGGGCTCAGGTCATGATCTCACGGTTCGTGGGTTCGAGCCCCGCGTCGGGTTCTGTGTTGACAGCTCAGAGCCTGGAGCCTGCTTCCGATTCTGGGTCTCCCTCTCTCTCTGCCCCTCCCTCCCTCATGGTCTGTCTCTCTCAAAAACAAGTAAACATTAAAAAAAAAAAAAAGAATTATTAAAGGCACACATGACAACTGACACTGTGTGTGCTATTCAGAGTGACAAGGGGGGCCATACCGTGGAATTGGATGAGATGGGTAGAGGGGAGCCCAGCAGAGTTCTTTTGAACAAGAGGTTAATCATCTGAAGGCCGCAGGAAACAGAGGTATTGACTAAGTGGGGAGGATGAGGACATCCCGGGCAGAGGCCTGTGCTCAAACACTGGAGCGGGAAAAAAAAGTACAGAGCTCTGGCCGAAAGGAAGACCACCAGTGTTTTAGGGAATAGGGTGACTCAAGTGCAGGCAGGGGAGTGGGGCAGGGGCCAGATCACACAGAGCCCCATAGGACACTCAGAGGATTAAAAAAAATTTTTTTTAATGTTTCTTTATTTTTGAGAGAGAGAGAGAGAGACAGAGACAGAGAGAGACAGGGGAAGGGCCAGAGACAGAGGGAAACACAGAATGCGAAGCAGCCACCAGGCTCCGAGCTGTCAGCACAGAGCCGGATGTGGGGCTCGAACCCACGGACCGTGAGATCATGACCCGAGCCGAAGTCGGACGCTTAACTGACTGAGCCACTCAGGCGCCCCCAGAGGCTTTTAAGTATATCCTGAGAACTCTGGAAAGCCGTGAAATCAAGGTAAAATCATCACGAATACTCCAGGCTAACCTCCATGACAAAACTTCAAGGGAGGGGGGAGAAGAAAAGCTCCAGAATATTCTCTAAAATGAAATAAAATGAAAAAACTGAAGCAACTTGAGCTTCCACGGCATTTTATGGCTACCATATGGGTATCTCATTTGTCACCCTGGGTCAATATGGTATTTACCTGTGTCCTTTTTGCTGGACCAAGTGCTTCCGGCAATTAGCAACATCTTATAAATTATTATGCCTTCAGGATCTGAAGCTTAGTTAAGTGTTCAATAAATATCTGTTGAGTTGAAATAAATTAAACAAAATCTCTAGGTATGCAAATACATAGCATTCCAAAGCCAAGTCCAGATACTAATTCCCCGGTACGTCCAAAAGTACTAAGAGATGCAAAGTTACAGGTGCATCTGCCGAAGCATAAAATAACCTTTTTTTTTTTTTTTGGAGCTGTCATGAATATATGCTGATCAGAATTACTCAGAATCTTCTGTCATGGTTCCAGAAACGTGGGGAAAAACAAAAGACAACACAGAGATAAAAATTACAGGTTACCAAGAATTATTTTTGGAGTTTTTTCAAAGCCAAGACAGACAACACAGCCAGAAGATGAGAACAGGCAGCTCGTGATAACATTTCTCTTCAGTGGATCAGGAAAGAGTCACAGAAGGTAATGACAGCCCAAGAGCAGAGAATGAATGAAGCCAAAAACTTCTGAAATAGGGAAAGGTGTGCAAAGCAATGACTAACTTTTACAGAGGTCCCTCAGGCTCGGCAATAGCAGGACGCAAGACGGGAAAGGCGTAACAGCGGGAAGAAACTACTGGCAAGGGGATTGTTACAGGTGGAACTGTGTCCCCCCAAATTCGCATTTTGAATCCCGACGCTTAGTACCTTCAGATGTAACCTTATATGGAGATACGGTCTTAACAGAGGTAGTCAAGTTAGAGTGAGTTCATCAGAGTGGTCCCTAATCCACTCTGATTGGGGTCCCTTAAAAGGGGGAAATTTAGGCGCAGGGGTACCCATAGAGGGAAAATGCCATGTGAAGAGACAGAAGATGGCCATCTTCATGCCAAGGAGAGAGGCGCGGAGCAGAGCTTCCCCTGGACCCCTCGGAAGGAACCAACCCTACCAACACCTTGATCCTGAACTTCCAGCCTCCAAAACTGTGAGAAGATGCATTTCTGTTGTTCGTGCCCCTAGTCGGCAGTCCTAGGTTGCGGCAGCCCTAGCAAAGTAATACAGAAATTAACCTGAAAAGTCCTCATTTACTGGAGGATTCTAACATTAAAGGGCGAACAAGTAGTTGAATGAGTAGACCAAGGAGATAAAAGAGGTCTCCTCGGGCTCATATTTACACGAAGCAGGCTTTTCTATTATATTTACCAGAAACGACACGAGGTTGGAGTCTGGAATGGGTATATATAAAGCCGTGGCAATGAATGACCAAAATAGGTCTTAACACGTGCCAGGCACAGCATCATGTGTTTTACAGGAGTCATTTGACTTGATCCTTACAACCACCCTGTGAGGAGGTTGAATTATTTTCGAGATGAAAATACTGAGTCTCAGGGAAGTTTGGTTTTCTCACCCAAGGTCAGACAGCAGTAAGAGTTGGGAAAGAGCTCCTCCTGTCTCTGGCAGGGTAAGGAGGAGAGCGATCGCTGTGAATGCACCGAGACCCTTCTCCATCACGGGGCCTATTCTCCAGAGGGAAAGACACATCCCACTCAGGGGAAGGGCATATCTCTAGCTCCAGACCCTGTAGTTTTCTTCTGTCACCTAAGAAGTAAAAATACAAGCTATGACAAACTTGTAAAGGTCACAACCCAGGACGCAGACCCACTGAACACTGAGATTGGATCCTCAGATTTTAGAATGCTTCCCTCTCTGATTTTTTATCACCACATCAACAGGCCTCCAATATAACAACATTTGACAGCTAAAAGGGCTGCAAGGTACAGACTCTATTTAAGGAGGAGTTCTTAGTGGGGGCGCCTGGGTGGCTCAGTCGGTGAAGCATCTGACTCTCGATTTCGGCTCAGGTCATGATCTCATGGTTCGTGGGTTCGAGCCCTGTGTCAGGCTCTGTGCTAAGAGCATGGAGCCTGCTTGGGATTCTCTCTCTCCCTCTCTCTCTCTCTGCCCCTCCTCTGCCCACACACACACTCTCTCTCTCTCAAAAATAAATAAATAAACTTTTTTTTTTTTTAAAAGAGGAAGTCTTAGGGAAGCGCAAAGATAAAGGAGGTGACAAAAACAAGTGCACGAGAGGAATGGAAAGCTTCTGGCACTTGTAACCACAAGCCACCTCCTAGCCAGGTTAACATAAAACCTCCCTCCAAAGCCTTATTTACTCAGGCCCTCTTACCAGGTTTATCGTCTCTGCTTCACAGCTACAAAGGATAACGAAAGCTACAAGACGTCTACACGGTCTGACAATATGAGACAAGCATGAGAACCAGACCCAGGTATGACACAGATTGTGGAATTATCACCTAGGGAATTTAAAAATACCTGTGATTCATATGTTAGAGGATTTAATGGAAAAAATTAACAACACGCGAGAGCAGATGTAATGTAATCAAGAGAGGCGCAATGTTCAGAAAGAATAAAAAAGCAAATGCTAGAAATCAAAAAACTTTATAGCAGAAACGTAAAACGTCTTTGATAGGCTCGTCAGTAAAATTCTTTCCTCTGATATCACCGAGGAAAGAATCACCGACCTGAAGAGAGGTCAAGAGAAACTTCCCAAACTAAAATGCAAAGGGAAGAAAGGATGAAACCAACAACAACAACAACAACAACAACACAGCATGTTCAAGAACAGTGGGACAATTTTAAAGGTGTAACATGCATGCAATTGGAATTCTAGAAGGCAAAGAAAGGACAGAGCAGAAGACATATTTGAAATAATAATAACTGAGAACTTGTCAAAATTAATGGCAGACACCAACCCACACATCCAAGAAGCTCTGAGAACACAGCAAAAAGGATACCAAGAAATCTACACCTAGGCATATTGTGTTCCAACTTCAGAAAATCAAAAGCAAAGAGAAAAATTTTGAAGCATCCGTATCTACATGAAAAAAGGAAGAGCTTTGGAGAAGGAGTAATTGAAGGTGAAATAAAGTGTTATGTTTTTTCTGATGCTTAATTTATCAACATGATAACTGTTTAAAGTAACAACAGTATATATACTGGGGTATTTAGGACATATGGATATGCGGATTGAATGACAGTAATACCACAAGGGATAGGAAGGAGGAATTGGGATTATTCTGTTATAAGGTGGTTGTACTAAATGCCAAATTGTATAATGTTATTTGAAGGTGGACTTAGGTTACTTAAATATATATATTGCAAACTCTAGGGCGACCACGATTTTTTTTTATTAAGTATAATTGGTATTCCATGAGACAAAATGGAATCATACAAAATGCTCTATTACAATCAGAGAAGGCAAAAAAAAGAAAATTTCTTAAGAGGGGAAAAAGTGTAAAAATAATTATGTACCACAATCTCGTGGGATTTATTGCAGGTATGAATGCTCGTGTAACATTTGAAAATCAATCAGTATAATGCAGCACATCAACAAAGGAAGAAAAAAAAATCACAAAATATCAACTCATTCAGAAAATATTCTGACGAAATCCAACACCTATTTATGATAAAAACTCCCAAAAAACTAAGAATATAGAGAAACTAACTTGACCAAAATAGTCTATTAAAAGTGCACAGCAAACACCATAATGGTGAGAAACTATCCAGATACTTCTCTTTTAAGATACATACAAAGCAAGGATGTCCCTTCTCACCATTCCTATTCAACATCATACTGAAAGTGCTAGCCAGTGTGTGGGGTGAGGGGAAAGATAAGGAAAGGAAACAAACGGGGTGCCTGGGTCGTTCAGTTGGTTAAGCGTCCAACTTCAGCTCAGGTCATGATCTCACGGTTCGTGGGTTCAGGCCCCGTGTCGGGCTCTGTGCTGACAGCTTGGAGCCTGGAACCTGCTTCCGATTCTGTGCCTCCCTCTCTCTCTGCCCCTCCCCTGCTGGTGCTCTGAGTCTCTCCCTTTCTCAAAAATAAATAAACATTAAAAAATTTTAAAGAAAAGGAAATAAAGAGTGTGCAAAATGGGAGCGAAGAACTAAAACTGCCTTTGTTCAGAGGCGATATGATTGTCTACGTGAAAAATCCCAAAGAGTCAGCATATATTCTGAAACTAATAAGCAACTACAGCAAGGTCACAGGATAAAATGCTAACACACAAAAGTCAATTGCTTTCCTATATAACAGCAATGAACAACTGGAGTTTGAAACTAGAATTATAATACTATTTACAATAGCACTGCAAAAAACCAAGGAAAATATTAGGTATGAGTCTAAGAAAATGTACAAGAAGTACATGTGGAAACAACAAAACTGATGAAAGAAATCAAGGATCTAAATAAATGAAGAGGTGTTCCATGTTCATGGATTGAAGACTCAATTTTATTAAGATGTCAAATGCTTCCCCACTTGATTTATGGATTCAGTGCAATCCCAATCCAACTCCCTGAGTTTATGTCCACCGTTGTAGTATTGGGCTATGCTCTCATTTGGGAAGGAAGACACATTCAGGTGTTTCAAGATCAAAAAGGAGGATTAAGATTTATTGCTAAACACCACCCACGATAGTAATTAATTTACACATTAGAGCTATCATATAATCCTCATACATAACAATCATGTGATGGAAACTCACACACGCTCTCTGACAAAACTTTTTGACTTCACCAATCCTTCAGAGCTTCTTTGGTCATGGCTAACAATTTTCTCCACGCCAATGGTCAATTCTTCGCATTCCTCTTACTTATATGGCACCAGTGGCAATAGTTAACATACTTTATCATTCCCTCGTCCTTCAAGCACTCCTTTTCTTGGCTTCCAGAACACCTCACTGGTTAGTCTTAGTCTCCTTTGCTGCTTCCTCCTCTCCTCTCTGACATTTCCACATTGGAGAGTTCCAGGGCTCAATTCTTCATCCTCCTCTCTTCTGCAGGGTTACCCTCTCCCTCCTTGGACTCTTAGAGTTCCAAGGTTTTCAAAGCTCATCTGTGCTGGATTCCAAATTTACATTTCCAGCTAAGAAACCTCTTCTAAACTCCAAACCTGAAACCATGTAAGCAACACGTGCTCAACATCTCCACTTGGAGATCTAATAGATATCTCCAATTTAACATGTCCTATAAACTGGGTTGCTGATCTTCCCTCCAAAACCTGCTTTGTCCACAAGCTGATTACCTGTCTCCATATATGGTGGCTACATCCTTCCAATTTCTCAGACCTAGAATTTGGAGTCATCCCTGGGGTGACTCTCTGAATCTCAGTATCCCAACCCTCTGCCTGTGAGATTCTAGCCCATGAGCACTATGTCCTGTTCTTCCTTCAGTACTTGCTCAAATCACCTTCTCAATGAGCCCACCCTGACCAGCCTCACGTACCCTGACCACCCCCATCACTCTCAATCCCCCTTTCCTTTTGTTCTCTTTTTCTCCCGGCACCTATTAATTTCCATCTCATGTCACTTACCCACTGAACAATTTTCACAATCTGTCTCTGCTGGGCAGAGATCTTCATCTGTTTTATTCACTAATATATCCCAGGCATATAATATAGCACCCGGTACCTGGGGAACATCCCACAAATAATTATAAATACTCTATGAATATGATTGTTTCTGTTTCACAAATGAGGTCAGCTTTAGTGTTGCGGATAAAATGATGAATCTGGGGTCCCAGATAGGCTTGATTTCCAAATCTTGGTGCTTTCTATCATTGGGTTTGTTGTTGTTGTTGTTGTTGTTGTTGTTTTCTCCTCTCTTTAGATTAAGTGCACCAGAACTGGCTACACAGCCAAATCACCGGAGGAATTTTCATATAACACTAGATGCCACTCTGAGTTTCATTCAGTCAGAGGTGGGGTGTACGTGCCTGGGTTTTCACTCTCCCAACCGATTCTCATGAGCGTCCAGGTTTGTGGACCACGGCCACATATCCCATTCTCCGATGTGGGCATGTTTTGCTTCCAGAATTCTTAAAGAACTTGAAGGGGATGTCCAGGAATAGTTAGCTCATCGATACAGCAGTAGGTAACCATATGGCATCAGAAGCCATAACTATACGGCATCATTACCCCACATTCTTCAATTAATAAAACGGAAGTTCCTCCTTTTGGACATCAATGCCACTTAAAAAAAAAAAAAATGAAATGTGAGCTTGTTTTTATGTGTGTTCTTCCATGGCCTGGAATGCCCCCCGTGTATCCAGTCAATTCCCACTCATCCGTCATGATTAAATCCGAGTGGTCCCTTTTCTTGGGATCTTTTTCCAAATCCCTCCCCGATTTTCTTTTCGGAGTGAGGCTCTCCCCTCGCTCTACTCCTATGGCATTTCTGTGCCTTTCGATTGAGACAGTGTGTTGTGGTAAGTAATCAACTCTCCTCGTAGTATTAGTAACAGGACTGCTTTTATTTCAAAGGGAGAAACCCACCTCTACTTGGCTTAAGAAGAAAAGAGAATTGATTAGCTTGTGGAATTGCAAACTTCGTGGGTGGCTCTGTCACCATGGGATACGGGGGCTCCAATGACGAGTTCAGGAGTGTGACTTCCTTCTCAAAGCAGAAGGCTGCCAGGATGGCTGTGAGGATCTCCAGGCTTCCGTTCTGCCTTTTCGCAGAAGAAGAACACCTGAGTCCCCAGAGTCTTGATAAGAGTTCCTGGACTGACTCTCCCTGGGACCGCCCTGGGTCATGTTCCCTCCAGGAACCAATCGCTGCAGCTTGGAAGGAGTGCAAATGTACTCGGACGGGCCAGGTCCAAAGTGAGTCACACACGGCAGAGGCCCGGTACACCTAGATGCCTTGAGGGCAGGGACCTTGTCTTCTCGTTCTCTCACGTATCTTCATTTTCCTCGCGTAGCGCTGAGCACATACAAGGCAGCTCATGCTTGGTAAACGCATCAGCGTAACAAATGAACATAGTCTGGGTTGTCGTGAAAACCGTCCATTATTACCCTGCGCCATGATATGCGGTGTCCCCAGGGGCTGCAGATGCGGTCTAACACCGGCTGCCCACCGTGTGCAGGCTGTGGGTTGCGTTACTGTATGGAAAGTAAGCCTCTGCAATAGATGCTTTTGTTGTTGTTGTTGTCGGGGTGTTTTGTTTTTTTGTTTTGTTTTTTTTTTTGTTTTTGTTCACCTCCGAACAGGACTATTGGTAAAAACACTGTCAATTCTTTAATTAGGTATCCCAGGAGACCAGGCCGGGGATGTTGTAGGATGACAAAGCCAACGGGAGGGGAAGTGGAAATGTCACCCTCGTTAGTGCGGTTATTCACAGGAGGAAGGGCCCACCCAGGGCCCTGGGGAGTGTCAGAGGGCAGCTTCCTGCTAAGACACTGAAGTGAGTGGAAGAGACGGCAGCTGGCAGGGCCTTGGGGGGGGGGGGGGCCCGGGGGGTCACACTGAGAAATAAGGCAGAGGGAGGAAGAACCCGTCCCCTGGGGGATCTGTAGGACTTTTTTCCAAGGTGATCTTGAGATGTGCGTGTTGTGGTTATTGCTTATTTATTTCCTATTTATATTAATGTCCTCTTACTATGTGCCACTCCGACCCACCATGGGCTCGAGCTCTCTGACCCAGCAGAGGGCAGATGAAGGTACTTTCTGAAACGCAGCTCCCTTCCCTCCCCGAAGCCCTGCCACACGCCCCGGCCAGCCCCCCGCTGCAGAGGGCGAGACTGCTGGCCGTGTGCCTCTCCTCCATGCTGCTCGCAAGCCAAAGGGCAGACCGGCCCCAAGGCTGCCAGAACATTCAGCTGAGGAAGACGTGGGCTGCCTCAGGAAGAACTGAGACTCAACCCAAGTCCTGACTTGGCGTCCCTGCTCTGTCACTAAGCAGCCACGGGACGCCAGGCGAGTCAAGCCATCTCATTTCTTAGCTTCCCCACGTCTTAAAAACGAAAAACCAAAACAGAACACGAAGGATTCTGGAATTCTCTAAAGTCCCTGCCCTGGAATGAATAAAAACTGCAATAAACGAATCATTATGCCTTTGCTGCTAGGACCAGGTCTGGATCTTTGCGGCGACAGAGTCTGCTACTTGTAGGGAAGAGCATCCAATTCTGGCTAAGTTAAGCTCAAGGGATAATGGGTCATAAAGGACTCAGGGCTGTTGGGAGAGTCGGGCTTGGGAATGGCAGAATTCTAGAGGCAAGAGGCCGGGGCCACATTTGTCGCATAACGAGAGTGACTGGCTGGCACCCTGTCCCTGGATGCAACGGAATGCCAGCCATTTTCGGGCGTCCTGTCTCTTTGCAAGGGGGAATTCACCTCCTTGGCTTAGACCGGGTCATGAGATGATGAACCTCCCATGACTTCTCCATCAGACTGTATTTAACAAGGAAGAAACTTTGCCTCGGAGGAGATCAGAAGGCGCCGGAGGATGGAAACAGATGCCAAGCATCCAGGAAACAGGAAAGAGGAGAGACAAATGCTATTGTTCTTTGAGGAATGCTTTTTCCCTGCCAGTCTAGAATCCCAACGGCCCTGGACCACACGTGCAACCAGAGAGAGCCTCCAAGTTCACAGCACGGCTACCCAGCCCCCAAACGACAGCGCTGGCTCCCCACTGTCCTCCGCAGCTTTCCATGAAGACCGAGAAAAGAGTCCCTTGATCATTGACCCCCCCCCCCCAACAAGTAACTTAGGGAGAAATCTTCCATACAATTAGTGGTTTAGCTAAACATCGACATCGCAGGGAACACTGTGTTGGCAAGGAGTCTACCAAATTGCATTTACAAGTAATACATTAAAGTGGTGATCTCTGTTGACCATGGACGGCCCCTCTGGAACTTGCAGAAGGGGTGCTGGGTGCAAGATCGGGGACTCAAATCTGAGTCCTCGCTCAGAGGGGGAGCCTCTGGTGGGGGGGGAGGTCTTTTGCTTCTTAGCACCCAAGCTGGTTAGCAGCTCTATTCTGCCATCCCATGGCTCCTCTACCTTCTCCACGCAACCCCCCCAAACCTTCTCACTCCCAAACCACGCCCCAACACTCACACCTTCGCCCCCCACTCTGTTCTTCAGCCTCTCTGTCTGAGTACAGCATCAGTCCATCAGGCTGAGCCAAGGAACTGCCTCTCTGGGTTGATGAGAACAGGCTCTCTCCACCCCCTGGTCTCTGAGGCTGCCCATAGCCCCTGCAGGTTAAGCAGAGAGGAGATTAGAAATTATCTAAATCACAACAATTCCCTGGCAGCTTTTGTATGATTACAGGCTCTGGTGAACTAAACTGTCCAGCTGGGTAATTGAAGGAAACATATTTATTGAAATTCACATGCTTACAGTTATACTTAGCCCCTGGATATCAGCAAAGCTAACCTGAAGAGAATAAAAAGCCCCTTACAGCTTTCCAAGTAAGCATTCTGTACAGGCCC